GTATTACAAACACCTTTTTAATATAATGTAATATAATTCAACAGCACCACAAACTACAGCCTCCAAAATGACCATAAAATGGGAAACTGTACATTTTAGCCTCCATGAGGAGGGTAGGATTTCCTACAGGGCTGTTAGGGTTTGTATATACAGTCTACTATGTGGTGGCCTGCTGTATTTACTCGCATAGTTCACTTAATAACCTCACCAGTAAAACTGAACGAACATTTAAAGAGAAATGTCCTGAGCGTTGTAGAGGATGATTCAATCTCCCACTCTAGAGTTTTTAATGGGTTTAAAACTGCACTTCAGTCCTGTTTGTTGTTAGGCTGTCTCAACGTTCTGAGGCTTTAAGTGCAGAGATGTAAGACTGGCTGACTAATGCAGGGAGAGAGACAGGAACTACATGTCATGTAAAGCAGGTCTGCAATTGCAGCACTTCATTGCAGTAGAGTGCTGTCATTAATCCTGCTGAGAGCATCTTCCTGCTACAGAGCGCATCCTCCTGCTCACCATGCTGGTGATGCAGAAAGCTCTGTAGCTGTACACTGTTTGTCTAAAGAGCTGATGAGCCCACTGAATTGTTTTCCTGGAGGAGTTCCCTGGTATCTGCTGTTTATGAAATTACTGTCCTGGAATGATTCCCATAATTGCCACAAAGATAGAAAGTGACGTTGCCTCTTCATTGTCCCTTCAGACGGGGAGTTCAGAGAAGATTTAAAAACATTTTACACTCATCAAATAACCTCGTTAGTGCAGTGACGTTAGTGATTGACTGTCACACAGGATGTGCCAGTTTGTGGTTTCTGGAATTGGGAGTAGCATCAACAGAATTTGCATAGTTTCAACTGAACCCGCCCTTAATTTGTTTATTTGAATTAGAAGACTGGGATAGTAAGAGGAGAAAACATAAAGCCTCTAAAGCGTGGGCTTAAATACATTAAGACGTCACTAAGGTGCATTCCTTAATGGCTCCATTACATCTTTATCCCTCTAAGTACTCGCCACTGAGTTGAGACTTAATTGCACAATTAACAGACCACAGGGTCTGCTTCGGTGTTTTATCATCAACATGGAAACCACTGCTTGTAAATAGCACAGCTCATATAAAATGACAAGCTTTACTATTTAACCCTGATCTCAGTTCAACATCTGTATGTAGGAGCCACATACAGAATAAATGACATTATGTCGCTAAATAACTGAGGGAAACTGTCTGCAGACGAGTAATTTACCTGCGTAATAAACATTTATATTTCAGTGGGACGAGGCAACATTTGTTACACAAGATTGAAACTTTCTTCTCCACTGTTTTGTAGTTGTATATTAGTTTTTTTTTTTTTTTATATTTGTCATCATGAAAAATGTCTCCTGACACATCTGTGTTTAATTTTAGGTACAACTCCAAGAGGAGACACTGGAGGAGGACCAAGCTTGGCCTGTAAACACGAGGGTCCGTGGATCCCAACATCCCTCCATCCCAACATCTGCCAGGACCTCCAGCTGCTGGGCCTGACCGCGGAGAGGGAGCCATGTTATCTGGAGCAGCCGTCGTTTTGTACAGATACTCTGGTTATGCTCATGTTTGACAATAAAAGATCTGTGATCAAACTTGAAACGATCCTGTGTTGCCTTTTCTTCCCCTCCAGCAGAGTAATATAATTTACAGTGAGTGTTTTTCTGAGGCAAACCAAATATCACACAGCTCTGACCACACAGCAAACACTCCTGAATCACTGTTTCATGGAAGATTGTGCTTACTGTTAGTTTGGCTTTAGCTTTGTTCCATGTGCCAAAGACAGCACTGCTATTCAAGAAGCCTCATGTAGTAGTAGTAGTAGTAAGACAAACTGAAATATTTACTTAGTTAATGCCAAAACTCAAAGGTTTGCCACGTCAGCAATCACTAACATTTTAGTTGTTGACACAAGCAGGAACTGGGTCAGCAGCAAGAAATGTTGAAGCTCTTTGTATGCAGTGAGTGTTTTTATTAAAGGTTCAGTGAAAGTTTAATTCAAGACGACTTTGTAGGACTCCCTGAAGTGCAGCACTGATAGTGGATTACCCCGGTGAAATAGTGCAGAGGTTCACAACTTTTCCAGCTGGAGACCCTTTAAAGTGTAGCAATATCTACTTCCCTCATTACAAGTTATGGCTGAGTTATTGATTAAAGAGGCTTGGAGAGGTAAAAGTATTCTTATCCCTTTGATCATCACTGTTAATCTCCATCTTTTTACTCATTTTTGTCTGTAATTAAATCCTTAAAACAAGTAAATCTGCATGTACAGTGGGACATTTACTGTTTCCAATAAAAATAAACTTACTCTGAAGAATATACTAGGAGTTACTGTTAGTTTTGACAGAAAGATGGGTTGCTGCTCTAGAATGAATAAAAATGAAAACTTGATGAAAAAAATAAATAAATGAAACATTGACTTTACACTGGAAACATGAATATGCTCACTGCACTGGTAGAAGAAGTTGGCAATAAGATATTTGCAGTGAGCCCTCAGTGAGAAACAACGCACACAGTCTGAAAGGTCGCGTCATAATAACCACTCAGCATTTCTTTCCCAGAAATGAAAACGAGGGTAGCAGCTTCCTTAAAGCCCCCAGCCTCCAGCTGCCGGCCCTCTTAGTCCGGTCAAAGGAGTGAACCTCATCTACACTCTCTGCGCCATCGGCCTCATCATGTGCGGCCAGGTTCATGGCGCCAGCGCTGTTGTTGTTGACGTTTCTGTTGACCTTTTGCGCACACCCACAGCTGTGCTCATCATCCCAGGTCCCCAGCAGCTCCTTCATCTCCAGCGGGGCGTCTCCCTTCAGATACTGCCAGGCTCGCTTCCCGTTGTAGTCCATGGCATCGACGTTGGCACCGAAAGCTCCGACCAGCAGCTTGACGACCATGTACTGCCGGTGCATGCTGGCGACGTGCAGCGGGGTGAGCCCGCCGCTGCCCCGCACGTTCACATTCACGGGGATCCGTGCGCTTTCTGCGTACCGCAAAACTTTGAGCAGAGTCTCGTCTTGTCCCCTCTTGGCCAGCCAGTGCAGGACCGAGTACCCGCTGATGAAATCCTTCCTAGTTAACAAATAGGGGTCCACGGAGATGAACTCCAGTATGGTTTCGTAGTTCCCCTCCACTGCAGACAGCATCCACGCGTGCTCCATGGGGTACAGAGCCCAGCCTGCGTCCTGCTCGGAGGACACGCTCTGGTGCGAGGACAGCACGCTGCTGAAGCCGCTATGCGACGGGTTGCTCAACAGCAAGTCTTTCAGGTACTTTTTACGCATAGCGGGTGTGAGCGAGCCTCTCTCCGGAGCCTCTCGCTGCAGTCCTCCCGGCGCGGAGCTGTCAGTGACCTCCTGCTGCCTCTGCAGCCTCGTCCTACGCTGGAAGGCGCTGGGGATGACCTGCATGCCATACCTCGAGAGTCGCTCCACAACGGTGCCCTGTGTGGACGCAGTGCCGCCGGGGGGGGCGTCGGTATTGCTGACAGCTGGTTCGGATCCAGTTGAGTCACATCCAGCATCATCCGATCTGTTCCCGTACATGCTGCTCCCTGCGCGCCCAGGGTTCAGGGCTACTTCCCTTTATTTAGACAACACCCAGAGATGTATGTCAGTGTCAAATTATAAACTGGGAGCGGGTTCTCCCTCCACTCACTGGACTCATGCCCTGTGTCATGGGAGGGAAAGGGTTATTTGTAATATTTACACACACACACACACACACTAAACCGTTTGAGAAATGCGTAAACATGCCGGTTTAAGCGTCTTAAGTGCAAATAGACACAGTTCCTGCTTTCTCAAGCATGTGAAGGCGTTACATTTAGTTCCTCATCTCTGAACACCACAAATACTGCACCGATTGTTTGTTTTACTCCGACTGCTGCCACGCCAATTTCACTCACCTGTGTCCAAAGCGCGTACGGACTCCCACTGTATGAAATCATTAACCGCTGCAGTCCCCGTTAAACCTTACAGGGTAGGGGTTGTTTCAGCGATGAACGCCGAGCACTGAGATCCAGATTGAAGTCGAGGATCCGCAGTTTCTTCAGAAGAGGAAATGAGACAAAGTTCATTCTTATCTCAAACAAAACCAACAGCGAGAATCCTTCACATGTGACCACTGATGGACTTCAAAGCAGGAAGTAACACTTCCCTGCTGCTTTTACATTATCTGCTGTAGTTCAATGTCCTGGAGTAAGTGTACAAAAGTATTAACACTATCCTATCCACAGTCACATTCTAAATATATTACAGAATAATGTACATTATATTGATAATATATTGATGCATTAATGCTTATTAATCTACTGGGCAGCCTGTGACAGTCCTAACTTAACCTACAATACATAAATCATTGTTTGAATGTATTTTGTATTATAATGTAAATTAAATTTAATAGAGTAAAAAGTGCAATATTTGACTGTTCAATGTTGTGGAGTAGAAGTAGAAAGTCACAGAAAGTGGAAATACTTCTGTGTAGTACAAGTACCTCAAACCTTTACTACTGTACCGTCCTTGTTTACTTGAGTGAATACTTAATCTCTACCACTGGGCTACAAACTGGTACAGAGCAAATAAGATAGCATGGACAGATAAAAATAAGAACAACTTTATTTCAATAAAAATGTAGTTACAACAACAAGCATTAACATTCAGTCAGTAACAGATTCTGGAGGAAGTTCAATGGTCAGCTCATCGAGTGTTTGAAGAAAGGAATCCAGCTCTGAACAATAATCTGTAGAGAGGAGATACAGTAAAGTTAATGATACAGTAGGTTAATGACACCTGCAGTTACTGGTACTTGTAGTTTGTAGCCTGTGCCCCATACTTAGTGACTACAGTCCCTGTAATTGTCTAATGAGAGCTGCAGGTCTGGCCACCATTTACATCAGACAAACATTTTACTCAGAACTGTTCACCCACACAATAGTTGTGATCATTTACAGTTTTAAGATACAATGTGGTTCATTAGGACTTCTGTGGTTGTGATCACAGCATTGAAAACTTTACATTGCTAAATACTACAAGTCTACTTCAATAGGTTTAGGCAATATGATGATACCTTTTAATATCCGGTTGTATTTGATCATTGTAGTCAAATGTTGCAAATCAATGAGAAGATTTCATAATAAAATACTGGATTTTTATTATTTCTTCAAATGTCATTGATGAATATTAATGTCAAATATTAAAGTTAGAAAAACTGCCAAAACAGACCATCTGTTTATTTTATCCACACATTGTTAGATTGTTCTAGAAATCTCCAGTAGATGTCCTGATAGTAAATTACATTCGGTGATCTGAGAGTTCATCATACCAGCCACCTCTGTGCTTCCCTGTATTGAAGGGACGGATACTTTAAATGTGTAAAAACCGGTTTTGATTTCAAACCACAGGTGTGAATGCGGCCGTGATAGGAACTTGATACCTGAATGTTTTGGCATCTTTACAGGGGACAGGTTTGAGAGTGGAGCAAGCTTCTCCAGGTCTTCCTCAAACAGATGTGGAGCTTGTGGCAAACAGGCCAGTCCAGGCAGAGCAAAGCCACTGAGCTGAATCAAATCTTCAGGTACGCTGTACTTCTCAAACTCTGAAAAAATACAAACCTCATGTTTTAAAAATATATTTCAAACATCGTGGGTGAGTGAGGTTTATGCTCTTGAGTCATTAACATATTTTATGTGCAAGTTCTTACGTAGCAAACTCAGATGAGCCTCAAGGGGCTCCTCATAGGGCATTAAACCATTAATAGAGTCGCTGCAGTGGGATTTACAGATACAATGTCATCTCTGATTTGAGCTGCAGTAAACAAATCCTGTGTAAAACGGTCCACCTCTCATCGCTCTGTAAGACCCTCCCACAAGTTCAAATGGCAGCAGTTGGTTCATCCCTCGTTAGGCTTTAAAACACCATTGAGGCAGGTGTGAAATCGCAGGATTTTCTGCCTTTGAATTATTGTTTGTAGAACCGTCTATTGGAAGTGTGAAATGATCTGTGATTGGTCAAAGTCTCCGCTCACAGGCTCGAGTTTCTACAGAAGTCCATTTCTCTCAAACCAAAAAGCTTTAGGCAACATTGTACCTCCAAATCCCAGACCTAGAATGGGATCAGACAGCAGATTTCATAGTTACCTAGTGGGTCATAAGGGATGAACTTTTCAATTTCTGGATATTCCTCCACTTTGGTCGGAGCATGTTTGACTTTAATTTCCTGTGGGGAACAAGATATATTGCATTAGTACAAGTATTGTTTGAAGTATAGAGCAAACAGGTCACATGATAGCCTGAGAGTACTTTTAGATCGTAGCCATTGTGATTTATTCCAACCTGTGGCTTTAGGAGTTTCTTCTCTTGTGCGTTCACAGCAGGGGTTGACATTTTTTTGTTGACAGCAGCAAAAGCCTTACGACCAGATGGAAGGGGAGTAGTCAAGGTCTTCGCAATCATTGGAGACTTCAAGAGTTTCTCTGGTGGAAAAACAAAAAGGTCAATGCGTATGTCCACAGACCTCGAAGCACAACGTAGGGATTTACTTACCTGGAGCAGACTGAAGCCGCTGTCGCATCTTCAGATTAGATGGATGAAGACACGCATTTTCTCTCTCTGCAAAGTCTATGTTGGCCATTGTATCTGCAAGCACACTGATATATTAGCTACTGCATGGTATTACAAGCAAACACCAGTAAGATCTTTCTGTGGCAGACATGTTGACACGTTATAGCAAGAAGAGCACAGGTGTAATGTTGATTATTACATTTAGATCTGTCAGTCACAGGGCTCTGCGATTGTGCAGGCTCATAGACACAAGGGAACCAAATTATCATTAATGTTTTTGGAGCTGAAACAGTCATGATAGTAAACTGAATAACTTTGGTTTTATACTGTTGGTGACACGTAGCGGTCACCTCGGGCTCAGGGACCTCTTGACTTTGGAAATAGATTGAAAGCGAAGTGGATCTTGAGTTAAGATAGTCATTCACACCAGACTTCAGATGAAGTGATGGTTTTAAAGCAGACTCCTTCCACTTGCAAGACTATAAGAAGTGGATGAGGCTCTGGAAAAAGCCACTATGGGCCTCATTTTTCTTGTCATTACGGTATATTAGTAGAAGCAACAAACAAAATACCACAGTTCTGGCAATTGTTCTGTAAAACTGTATTCTCCAGTGGACCAGGTCATGTGAAATCAAAACAAGCTCTAAAGGCCAGTATGGCCGGTTGCCAGCCTGTATCCACTCAGCATCTGACTCTTTAAAGGGACAGTTCAATGCACTGCAACTAATGGCAAGTCTGGCAGTGTTACAGCAGTAACAGCTGCCATTAATGGACGACACTGGTCCCAAACTGACGGTTCACGCTGCCGCCTTCTTCTATATTCTGTCTGTAGCACAGTTTAATTTAATTTAATTAACTTTACGTTACATTAGCTTGTTTTCTGTTCGTCATGGTAACGTTCAACACGTCATGTGACACTGTTTGCAAACGTTCTAGAATGATTCAGCTAGCGTCACACTGCTAACACCTTAGCGTCAAAACAACAGCGTTACATCAACGTCAGTCGCGTCACGTCTTTTTGTTAGTTTTAAAACGTTACTGATGTTGATAGAGTGCGGAGAATTGTAATCGGATACACTGGCGGTGTTTACGTTACCTCTGTCAGTTGGTAGCTCTCGGTCCACAGTTGTTATGGTATAAACAGTTGGACGGAGACCGCGGCTCCTTTTTAAATTCACTGCCCTCCTCCCATTGGTCGCTCTAGCACATATGACTAGAATGGGCGTTCCCCCCCAAAAATATATTAAATCATATTTAATAACTCACGTTGCATAATTCTTAGCTCAAACATAATGACATGTATATTGTAATACCTAGAGTAAGTATTTAGAAATCCCCTTATGATCTACAATGAAAGGCATCGGTATTTATATATGTAACTGTTGGCTATCTTAATCAGCCCTACTTCCTCGTCGGTTCGAACATGCGTTTATGAGTACATTTAATAAATTAATAGATAATATCAAGACATATTTTCCTTTATAAACAGTTATTTTTCCGTTTCTAATGTGCATTTACTGCGGTCGACTTCTATTCTCACTGGACGAAACCATGACGGCATCCTGTCGGTGGGGGGGGGGATCAGTGGGTAGCGCTAATT